ACATTTACTTCCATCAAAGCAAAGTCTTGAACAACCTAGTAAAAAGAAAATAGGAAAACAACAATTTAAATTAAAATCTAGGTTTCAGGTAAATTGAACATATAATGATTGAGCGAAAATCATCTTGCTAAGTTGGACTTAAATTTTGTTTTTACCTTTTTGTAATGATCATCGAATTGGTTTTTTGCCATCATACTCTGTTCTGATAAAGTTTTTTCAACAAACTGGTCAGGTTCGGACCTCCACTCATAAAGGCGGTCGATTTTATTTAGGGCTACGATAAACGGAATTTTGCGAGACCTCAGAATTTTGATAGATTCCTTTGTCTGTTCCTCTAATCCATGCATTAGATCAACAACAAGAATCGCTAAATCACACAATGAGGAGCCGCGGATGCGAAGATTACTAAAATTATAATAAAATGATGAATTTTGAATCGCATGACCATTGAAACAACGAAAATGAGATAAAAGCTACCTGAAGGACTCGTGACCAGGAGTATCGATTATAAGAAGTCCAGGAAGCTTCATTTTCTTGGAATCAAAATAAGTGCACATTCGCGTTGCTGAGCAGATATTTTCTTTTGGAACGTTGGTTGCACCGATTTGTTGTGTGATTCCACCTGCCTCTCGATTTTGAACATTTGAACCACGTAATTTGTCCAGAATTTTCGTTTTTCCTGTATCTACATGGCCAAGCACACAAATTACACCCGACCGAAGTTTATCAGTAGAACGTGCTGCCTCAAATTCCAAATGACGTAACTAAAGGGATACAAAGAGTAGCACAAGTATGAAATAATTGACATATTTAAACGATACAACAAAATGGCATAGAGTATTAAGGCCTTACCCTTAAGCGTTCTTTTGCTGCAACGATCATCGAACGCTTTTCCTCTTCGGATAAAACGGACTCATTGTGCCCAAAACCCTCAGGCCGTTCACACCCATGAAGTTTAATACCGTCACAAATATCATCATTTCCATTTTTTGAATCTTTAATGGATTCGACCAATTCTTCCCAATTGTCAAAACAAGCTTCCTCACCAGAAGAAGACTGCTCCTGTTCCAATAATGCGTTTTCTGTGTGCTCAATAATTTCTTCTTTTGGCTTTCGCTTATGTAATTTTGAATAAACGGGTTTTTTAGCCGCATCTTTATGCGTATCATCAAGTGTCCCTTGGTTTGCTTGAAGCATTTCCATCACTTTGCGGCGGTCTTCTCTTTGTTTGTCGGTTAGTAGTTTTCCTTCAGCCTTGAGGCGCTGTTTACGTTCTCGTTCCTTAATCTTTTTCCTCTCCTTTTTCTCCTTCTCAAGTCTTTCTTTTTCTTCTAGATCCTTTAAATGCTGCTGATAAAGCCGCTCCTCCTCTTCTTCCTTCTTTTTAATTCTTTCTACCTCCTCTTTCCTCTTTGCAACCTCCTCTTTGATTTTTGCCAAGTGCTTAGCCACTTTTTTATCTTTTATCTCCTCTTTTCCGGGCTTTTCTTCTTTCTTTACTTTCTTCTTATTCTTTTTTTTATCTCCCTTAGAAGCCTCGTCAGTATATGTAGGCTCGAGGAGTTGGTTGTCCATTTGAGGGCTTATATCAACTGAATTCGCCATTAGAATAGATGCAGGGCGGGAATTAACGAAACAACCCGATTAAGCCGGAAGAAATAGAGAAAAGCAAGATACGACAGATGAACAATATGAAAATAATTGATATGGGTGCGCTCAATGCAACTGATGACTTAAATATTATTTATTTATTTTTGCTTAAATTGAAATTAAATAAGATTTTTAGTTTTAAATAGTCACTAAATAAGTCGGATATTTAGTTTATATTATAATCCTATACACTTCTCAGTCTACTTAACTTGCTATATTGTGTATATTTGGAAAAAATTAAAAAAGCATAGTATATGGATTCATCCTGACTTA